TAGAGCCCATCAAATGATTTACCACCAAGGACCGACAATCTCGGAAACATCTTTAGTGCACCTTTGAGGCACACAGGCGATCAGTATGCAAAACATCGCTTCTGATGAATGTGAAATCAAAACCAATGACACACCATATTTTCAAAACATTTCCAATGCTCACTAATACAGTTTGGCAAGCTTCTGGACATCCTGGAAACATTTAACATCTGTCTTGTAGTGTGAATAAAGATTTGCTCCGCACACGCGCCACTTGCCTGTAACAGGGAGCGGCGTTGCATCATCCAGACTGCCTTGTTGTCTTTCGTGTCGCACAGCAAGGTGGCAGCTTTTTCCATAGAAACAACTACTTCCTTGTTGTAGAAGGTGGAACAGCCTTCTGGAGGAGAGGCAGGGATTGCAGCAAGCCTAATCAGGAGAACACTGCCCTCGGAGCTTTCTACAATCTGGCAGAACCTCTCGTCCAACCTTGTGGGCTCCGGGGCACTGGAATAGCACACACACACATCCAATACTATGCCTGCAGCCCAAAGCAAACTGATGCACACCGATTCTACCACATATTTTCTTTTTTTCATTTACTATGCAAGACAAAGATCATATGAGGATGAAATGCTACTAATAAGTGCATGCTTGTCTTATGTGGCCCTCATACTGTTTTGTTTTGCCTACACAACGCTTGTGTGTAAAACACCAACCATTGCACACAATCCAACATACTAATTTATTGTTCAATCCTGTTTTGCCTATTTAATGGCCTTGCCAAGTTCCAATTACTCCTTGGGGCCACATAAGCATGTCTCTGGCTCCCCTGCGCGACTGTTCAGCCCGCCGCCGCCTCCTAGAAAAGAAAGTAAAGATCCATAAACAAAAATGAACCTATGTCTTTGTACAGATGATACTCTGAAGTCATTCGAGTAGGATGCTCATAAGCGAAGTTGAATTACATTTCTCAAACAAAATGCTCCCATGTCTCGTGAGATAATTTAATGAGCCGAGAGAACTTTGAGCTGGTTGTGTGTCAAAGGCTTTTTGAAACGATAGGTGGCCAACATACAGCCAAAAACAGAGCTGTGCACAGACTAATAAAATAAACATTCGACGTGGCTGCAGTCACTAGTTATAATTCCAATCTGTGTCGTCCCATTAGTCCTAATCTTTATTGGTGACACAGTGCCACAAATAAAGATCAGGACTACTGGGACAACACTGGCGATGGGACAATATGAACATTGATTGGGCGGCGGCACTGACACCGCACAATCAGTGTCATCCCATTTCTTTTGATTGAATTGCTTATTAGGTTTTCATACTGTGCCAGCACCTTATTTCATGGAGTGATTGCGGAAAAAAATTAAAAATTAAGTCTGCGTGAAGACAAACTTTATTATGAAAGCTGAACCAAAGACACTTCAGAAGAGCAGTTTGTAACTACCTGTGCTTGGCAAGTGCAGAATTGAAGCAGGCCCCCATCAACTGCTTCAGGGTGTCTGTCTGCTCTTCAGGTGCAAGTTCCAGGGGAGCTGGCAGAGTCTTAACGTGGCAGAAGGCCTTCAGCTGTAAAGGCTCTCCATAAAGTGCTTGCCCAGGAGTTTTCTTTTACGTACACTCTATCTTTGGAGCTAAGAGCTCTTCCAGCCGGTGAATTCCAGTTCTGCAAGATGAAACCGAAACCAAAGCTTGTTACAGATGAAGCAACCTGCCTGTTCTCAATTTTGATGTATGTACTGTTGCGTATGTTGACTCTTAGTTCCATCGTGTCACAATTAAGTCCGCGTTGATGAAACGGCGAAACCGGACCACGTGAACGCGCAGTGCGGTTGATCACAGCAGAGAAACATTCAGGGTACCTCCCATTTCGCGAAATTGCGGTAGTCCTGATCGCGCACGCTTAAAGCCGAACCGAGACTATCGTGCTTGAATGAGAGACGTCAGCGTACGAAAACACCTGTGTCCACAACAGTGTCCACGAGCACGCCTGCACCCATAAAAGTATCAGCGAGCAACGATCATCAATGCCTCAAGGCCATCTTGTACTCGCGCCGCATGACAAAGGTTTGTTTGTAGGTACATACCTGTTGCAATGTAGAAGAGCGCCCACTGTGTGCTTGCAGCATTCCGACGAGCCTGCCACGCACGAGCAGACTGCCCTTTTGACACTGAGCTCGCAGCTGTCACCTCTTGCAACAAGCTCCACATTGATCTCATGGGGTCTCCCTTCACATTGCTCGTGGCGAGCCACAAAGCAAAAATGCTCACCTTGTCCTCAGACGATGTCGTTTTTCCGCAGAGGAAAAGGTGGCCTGCTTGAAGTAAATGGTCTGCCTCCTCGTAGCAACGCGAACATTTCGTTGCATTCGCGAAATCCAGAATGGTAGTCAGCAGCAGGGCCCTGCTTGTATCTTTGACCGTCAATACTTCCGCCGTTTTGAAACTGCAGCAGAGCCCCCTATAGTTAGTTGAAATTGCGAATAGTACACCCTTACAAGCTTGTGTTTTTTTCGAGCAGAGCCAGGTGGGTTGGCCACCTTGAAGGCATCCTGGTATAGAACGATTGGAAGAGCACGTTCAGAGGAGAGAGATCTGTTGCTCTTGCAAATTAGGCCATCAGTTATATCCGATAGCTTCCCTCCAACTCCTGGATGCTGTGGGCCGTACAAACACTGTGCTACGTCTTTGCCAGTCAAAAGCTTTGGCGAGGTCTCCAAGATCAGAATGTATTGAAAATTTCTCCCCCTCCGGTCTTTGTCGCGACCAAGCCTGATGTTTTTAGGTGCAACATATGCAAGTTTTTCTTTATGCTTTTCACTTAGTATACTCTGTGCTGAATAGTGAACATGGTGCCTTGAAGACATTCTCTGTGTCAACTTCGCCCTCAATTTCTAACGCATCACTCCTGGCCATTTTCTTTTCCAACTGTTTGCGCAACTTTAACAAGGTAAATTTCATATTTATATTTTGAACATGGAAGGTGCTCTCAGCCATTACTGGCTTGTGCTTCCAGCGATGTTGTCGGTGAACGATTTGCTTATTCGGAGCTTCTTCTCTTGACCTGCTTTTCTTTTTAGTCCGATATTATCTCAAAACGTCAGACGTTTTGAGATAATATCAGCATTTTGACAAAACGTCAGCGTTAGACCTCGCGGTTTTTAGGAGATTTCCTTTTGCTCTGTGGCTTTTTTACAATAATCCGTTTTGGTTGAAATCAAGTGATCAGAGGTTTTCGCAGGGGGAATTTCCCGGGTTTCCGTTTTTGCCACTTTTCTAGCCCTCTATGTTCACTTTGTACGTCCCATCAACAAACAAAATTTCTGGATATTTCTGTTAAGTTTCTCTCATGATAGAGGTCTGGAATAAAACAAATAAAAGTTTGTCCTTCTCATCCTTTTCATAATGAATAATCCAGTTGAGATTCTGAGAGGCAAGGGTCTGCATCTGTTCGAGCAACATGCCACCATGATCCTGACTAGTTTTAATTGTAGTTGCATAACGAGACTTGTAGTTGTTTATGTCTTTCGTTTTCAGAAACTTGCCAGTCCTTTCATAAACATAATTTTTGAAGTCCCTAGGTGCTACATTGCATTTGGCAAGATCTGCTAATTCTGCCTTCTCAGGTTCACTGAGGAGTATTTTGTGGATATAAATCGAATAAGTCCTGGAGATAGTTGTGCTCAACGACAAGTTTCGAAATTGTGTAGAAGACACTTCCTTTAGTTCTCATAGCCACTGAAACAAGCATCTCACAGCTAGTATGATTGAAGTTACGCTTTGGGCGTTTTCCAATGCCCCTTGAACTTGGCTTTAGTCCATGTACACAGATGTAGGTAACTCGAGAATACTTGAATTCATCGCTTTGAGCTAATGGGCATAAGTTGCTCTTACTTACTGCAACCATGTGGTGCTCATCTTTGCACCAGGCTTCAAAGGCTGACCAAAAAATTACAAAGTTTGCAAAAGTTGCCCCTTCGAAGATGACACTTCCTCCGTCAGACAGAGTGGGGGGACAAACGACAGTATTCCCAAGCTCTGAACAAACTTCATCAGCTTCCATGATGACAACCCGACGTTTCCGCTACAGGGCCTTAGAAACGCGCTTGGCCCCGAGCTTCTTCGCGCATGCTGGACGGCTATCAGCTGAGCTAGCGGCATCATCCGAGAGGCTACTGCCATTCTGCACCTCTGGACGTGTGGTATTGGAGCAAGCGTCTGGCACAACCCGTTTCAGCTGCAGCGGCTTAGAAACAAGCTTTGTCCCGAGCTTCTTCGCGCATGCTAGCGGCATCATCCAAGAAGCTGCTGCCATTCTGCACCTCTGGACGTGTGGTGTTGGAGCAAGCGTCTGGCTCAATCCAAGGTTTCCGCTGGAGGACCTTAAAAACGCGCCTGATCCTGAGCTTCTTCGCGCATGCTGGACGGCTATCAGCTGAGCTAGCGGCATCATCCGAGAGGCTACTGCCATTTTGCACCTCTGGACGTGTGGTGTTGGAGCAAGCGTCTGGCACAACTTGTTTCAGCTGCAGCGGCTTAGAAACAAGCTTTGTCCTGAGCTTCTTCACGCATGCTAGCGGCATCGCAGAGCTAGCGGCATCATCCAAGAAGCTACTGCCATTCTGCACCTCTGGACGTGCGGTGTTAGGGCCAGCGCCTGCTGGGTGGCCATGAGCTGAGCTAGGGTCAGAGCATGTCTCCAAGGAGGACAGCTTGTCAAACATAGGCACAGATGAAAAGGCTTCAATGATAGGCATAGGCTCCAAAAGGCAACCCACTGCAAAGTCTCCATCATCCCAAGTAATTATGGGGGATGCGATGGTAGCAGTATGTTTTCGTGCCTTACGCAACCCCTGAGACTTATGCTCCCTGCATTTGGGCTTCACCAACTGCCACTTGTATCCACCCACCAAACTCGGAGGTGATGAGGCCACAGAAACAGCAAGAGGAAGTGGTGGAGAGGATGCAGAAGCAGGAAGTGGTGGGGGCACAGAGGAAGCAAGGGGGAGTAGTCAAGATGCAGAAGCTGGAGGAGGTGGTGGGGGCACAGAGGCAAGAGGAGGTGGTGGTGGGGGCACAGCAGAGGCAGCAAGAGGGAGTGATGGAAAAGATGCAGAAGGCACAGAGGCTGCAAAGTCTCCATCATCCCAAGTAATGATGGGGGATGTGATAGTAGCGCCGTGGCTTTGTGCCTTATGCACCTCTGGAGACTTGCGCTCCCTGCATTTGGGCTTCACCAACTGCCACTTGCATCCGCCCACCAAACTCGGAGGTGATGGGGCCACAGAAACAGCAACAGGAAGTGGTGGAGAGGATGCAGAAGCAGGAGGTGGTGGGGGCACAGAGGAAGCAAGGGGAAGTGGGGAAGATGCAGAAGCTGGAGGAGGTGGTGGGGGCACAGCAGAGGCAAGAGGAGGTGGTTGGGGTGCAGAGGAAGCAAGAGGGAGTCGTGGAGAAGATGCAGATGCAAGAGGAGGTGGTTGGGGCGCAGAGGAAGCAAGAGGGAGTTGTGGAAAAGGTGCAGATGCAAGAGGAGGGGGGGGGGGGGGGGCACAGAGGAAGCAAGAGGGAGTCGTGGAGAAGGTGCAGATGCAAGAGGAGGTGGGGGGGGGGGGCACAGAGGAAGCAAGAGGGAGTCGTGGAGAAGGTGCAGAGGGAAGAGGAGGTGGTTGGGGCGCAGAGGAAGCAAGAGGGAGTTGTGGAGAAGGTGCAGATGCAAGAGGAGGTGGTTGGGGTGCAGAGGAAGCAAGAGGGAGTTGTGGAGAAGGTACAGAGGCAACAAGAGGTGGTGGGGGCACAGAGGAAGCAAGAGGAGGTGGTTGGGGCACAGAGGAAGCAAGAGGGAGTCGTGGAGAAGGTGTAGAAGCAAGAGGAGGTGGTAGGGGCACAGAGGATGCAGGAGGAGGAGATGATGGAGGCGAGGCGAGCATGCTAGGAGGGCAAGAATAGCCAAGCGGAGGAAATTCAATCTCGCATGTCGTGTTCAACAGGACATCCGTGGGGGTCCTGCAGTTCCAGGAGGGGCTGGCACTCGACATCCTCTTCATGTGGTCCTGATGAATCCTGGACCTGGTCAGCACCTCTGCAATCCTCTGTGCATGCAGGAACAGGAACTCTGCAAAAACCTGTTCAGGTTGTTTTGAAATAGGCGTCTTAGTTTTCACAATGTAATGAGAAAAGAATATGCATAGAACATCTTTTCATTTTCTACATTTGACCCGCCTACCTTACAACAAAGGCAATAGCTCCGACGGTGCATTATATACCTGCACCTGGCGAACAGTGAAAGTCAGCACAGTACGTCAAAATGAATGTAGCTCCACATACCTTGTTGCCATCCCGGCTTGGGTGTACTCCGTCGTAGCCGATCCACCGATGCCACTTGTCCACGAGATTGCCGATGAACACGAAGCCCTTCTTGAGCCAGAACTCCTGCAGGAGCCAGTTCACTTCTTTGTACCGATCATTCAACGATTGGATCTCAGCACTCTTACTACGCTGACACTCCAACGAAGAGAACCTGTTCTCCCGCCTTGGAAGGACGGAAGAAAAGGCGATCTGCATCGTCGGATTGTGTTTCAAGATCTGAGCGGCCAGCTGACGGTACTTGTCAATGTACACGCTGGCACAAGCGCTGGTGTTGTTTGTGCCGTTGTGCAAAATGACAGCATCAAAATCAGGCAGGGCGTCAGACACCTTGGAAAACAAGGCCTCGATTCTAATGCCACTAAACGCCCGCACTTCAACAGCCACCCGGTTATTTGATGGGAAATGCTGGGACAAGTATTTCACCCATCGAATCCCCGGCCACCAAAACTCGAGGCATGTCAGAAGCGCGACCGTGCTAACACACAAAGGGCCGAACTCTCCTTGACCAAGAAAAAGAGAGAAAAAAACGCTCCAGAGATTTTCAAACCCGCTTGCGGAAGACCAGGCAGGAACAGCAGTCCAGACAAGGCAGGAACTCAAGGGGCAATGACCGCCGAGCACATGGACGAAAAAAAAAAGGCAAAAACGGAAGTTGGGAGGCAAGACCGGCAGTTGATTCCTGCGTGGACGTAGCCAGGCCGGGAGGAGAACAGGCTCCGTCCACGCAGGAAGTGACGTATGTGCGCTGGAAGTGACGTAGTGCGTGGATGGAGCCTTACCTCCCCACGACGTGGCTACATCCCCGTGCGTGGATGTAGACACTCCCATATAAAATTGTTTCTTCCTTAAAATTTGCAACTGGTCATTTATGGCTGAATCAAGCAGAATATGAATATCGTCTATAATCACAACTCAGTTGTTAGTCGAATTGATGAAACCTGTGCAACTTATTTTTTTAAATTTTAAGTGTGAATGTTTTTTTAGGAATTAAAATTATTTCCTTGCCAATGATTAAGCATTTTCTACATATTTAGTCGTAATATACGGCCTATCGAAAGCCATAAATATGACTCTAGCCCTGGAGCTCCTGCTGAATTAATTTTTTTCCGTTAGCTGGCTGATGTGCAGTGCCCCTCAAACTTAACGCCGCCACTCGGTTACTCAAATATTGACCTATTATACGCTACGCAAAGATAAATTGGTCGCTGCAGCTGCTGGAATAGCTTCCCCTCGTTGGGTTTTCTTCGGGGACGCATATCTTCAACTAGTTCGACCGCTAGTTCAGAAATAACGCAAAAAGTGAAGAAACCAGACAATCTTGTGGCGGTGTTAAGTTTGGGGCGCATCATACATTGTGGAAGATGTCGGCGTCTTGAAACCGCCAGGATTTTTTTCAAGTCAAAAGCGCCGAGTGGCATATCTTTGCAATGGTGGCCATGTGACATGTTGTGCAGGGTATCCTCTGCTGCACCATGCAGCATACAAATCCTGCAATGTAGCCGACAATGTTTCCAATGTAGGGAGACAGCTGAGAAAGACTTTTGAGTTTGTCTCCCAGCTTGCTTTTCTCACGAATCTCAGCACCTCGCAAGAGGTCTTCGGAGCCATTCTGCTTCGCTGTGGACACATCCAGTTCATCGCGAGCACAAACCCCACTGCTCACATACAAAATCCTAGATTCATCCAGTGATACAGTTTTTTCGACCCCCTTTCACTTCGCTGTGAACGACTAGTCGCCTGTAGGCTGCCACAAACTGCGAGACCATGGGGTTGTTGTTCCAGCCTCCTCTGGAACGCAGAGCACCAAAGAACAGCTCAATGTGGTCCTGTGAAAGCTTATAGGTGAGGAGGTAACGCAGGGGTGGAGCTTCACCAAGGAGGAGGGAAGATGCAAGACGTGTCGTGCTTTCTATGGTCACAAGGAAACCAAGAAAAGGAGTTTTTCCTTGTATCTCACACATGGGTTTTCCAGCTGCATTAGTGAGCCCCTTAATATAGTCCTTGTCTCTCTAAAAAAAAAAAGACATCCAAGTGCCTCTAGTTCCTGGTTGGAGTAGTACCTTGAAGCTTCTAGCGACAGGGTTGCGCGAGTACAAGTAATCAAACAAGCAGTCAAACAGCTGAATGAACTTGACTTTGGAATTTTTGAACTGCGGAAGCTTGAGATTTTCACAGCAGAAATCAATGGCATCCGCGACGCTAGAGCTCAAACGGTAACTGCAAAGAAAAAAAGTGTAATTTTAAACAACCTAATTTGGACAAGCATGTCGCAAAACAATTTTTCCGCCAAAAACAAAATTTTTTATAGCAATATTTATTGCGCTAGACCGATTTTAGTTTGCGGCTGTTTCATCTGTTCTAAATCACGCGCCACAAAGTTGGTATTATACGTCACGTAGTGGCTTCTATACGTCACGGAGTGACATAAAACAGCCACTCCGCGCGCGTCGAAAGAGCGGGAGTTTCAAATGTGGAGAAGTTGTGACTCCAACTAAATTACGTCCTGTGGCGTAAATATTGCTAAAAAAAATTGTTTTTTTTTGCGGAAGATTTGTTTTGTGGCATGCTTGTCCCAATTAGGCTGTTTAAAAAACACTTTTTTTTTCTTTGCAGTTACCCTTTAATGTCTGGGCAGCAAGATTGACCTTCATCTTTTATTTGTATTAGTCAATGTGTGCAGCATGTAGCTTTGTTGCAGCACGCACGCGTTCTTTCTCGTGAAGGTCATGTAGTCACACAATATAGTGTCACTGAACTATTGATCCAGAGGCATCCCAAAGCCACTTAAGGGAAGCAAGAGCTTTTCGCACCAACTTAATCATATGGCATGCATGAAGAGAAAGTCACCATGACAGACCCATCTTCAAACGAGGCCCCCAGATACTTAAACATAGAAAAATTGCAATGAAGGCCATCAGATGTCAGTGATGTAACATGTACCCCTGCATGATGCAGTTTGGTCAAACACAAGTTCACGAGATTAGTGCATTCTTTTCCAGAGAGCCCACTGTTCAGGATGTAGCCGCAGGGTATCTTCCAAAGCGAGTCTAGTGACACAAGCATGAAGACGATAGCTTCAGATGCAACATCACTGCTGTCATCATCCATCTAGTTAAGTCATGCCTCTGTCTGGTCCCATATCGAGAAGAAAAGGAAACTAGTTGAGATATATAAATTTTATAATTACCCTGAATTAATTGAAACAGAAGCTTGAGACGAGAATGACGATTTCTTTGTGTTAATGGTGGTAGGTTGGCCCTTGCTAAAAGCTCGGTTACAGAAGTATGTCCTAAGCTGTTGTATATAAAGCGAGCGGCCTTTTTCTGTACGCTATCAATTTTATTAATGTTCGTCGGGGTGAAAGGGTCCCAAATAATAGCAGCGTAATCTAACGTTGGCTGAACAATTGATTTATATGCTAGAAGGCAAACAGGAGGGGTAGCAAGTTTCAAAGCACTCTTGAGAAAGAACAACTTACGAATTGCATTAGCTCTTACGGAATCAATGTGCTGCGTCCAAGTAAGGTTATTTGAAATCCACAGACCTAGGTATTTATAGTGTGTTACCTCGGAGAGAAATGTATTATTAACAAAGTAATTGAACTTTAATGGGAGTTTTTGTTAGTGATTCTCATAAAGACAGTTTTGTCATAGTTAATACACATCTGCCATGCATCACACCAAGCAGCAACTTTTTGAGAAGCACTGTTTAGCAACAACTGATCTGCAGTACTATCTATTTCTGATTAAACGCTTCGTGCAGGAACTGTAGGGGGCGCTTTGAAAAACGCGCGTAGCGCCGCTAGCGGAAGAGCTGGTGTTCGACAGTGAGGCGCGTTCGGCAGCCTGCGGCGCCTTTTCGCATGCCAAGCTGTGGCGGCGGAAGCGCGCACGGACGGAACTTTTGCTTTTTGAACCGATACGTTGAGAGTGACGTTGCATGAGTGCTGGGGCAGACCTAAAAGGGCATTAGTTTGAGTCATTATTGAGGGTAATTTCTCTAGTTGCAGCTGAAAAAGGGGTTGGAGCAATTTTCCGAAAAGCAAGACGGCCGCCACCATATTTGCTCTGAGTGGGAACTTCATTTCGCTCGTCGCTGCAAAATGTAGGACTGCTGGAACGATGATATTTGGAGGCGAGTGAGATGTTCACCAAGTTCGTGCACGAACTGTGGCAAGTTTCATTAAGACAGCAGGTGGGAAAATTATGTTTCTAACGAATAAAGAAATAAAGATGTACGGGATATCCATATTGGACCCAAAAATTTGTGTTATAACCGGGCTGTGCGAAGTGCAGATTTGGGCATATACGCGCTTGGACTTGACAGTAACATGACACAGCACTTATACCAAAAATAGGTGGCATAGAGAAACAAGGTGGAAATTTGGTTTGGGCGGCGCAACTCAACGGGAGCCGGTTTTGACCATGAAAGGGCTGTCAAGAGAATACCACTCGTTGTGGGAGGTGGAGACTTTACAGGTAGGAAGGGACTAGTGAACTGTACTTGCAATTGAAACAACTTTACGAAAGGTGGTTCCAAAGCCTGAGAAAACGTCGGCCAACACATGGTTTGGCCGTCAAAGGCTTTTGCAGTCAGCTGTTGTTTTGTGCGCGAGGTGCTGATTTTCGGCACGCATGTGCTTTGACATGACCGTAACTTGACACAACACTTTTTATACCAAAAAGAGGTGGCACAGCGAAACCAGGTGAAAATTTAGTTTGGGCGTCGTAACTAAATGGCAACCGGTTTTGAGCGTCAAAGGCTGTCAAGAGAATGCCACTCATCGCGGGAGGTGCTCACTTTACAGGTAGAAAGGGACCAGTGGATGGTACTTCCAGATCGCACAACTTTGCGATACGTGGCTGTAAAACCAAGTATAAAATTGTTTTCTGCATGACTCGGGTTGTCAGCGTTTCCACATCCAAAAGGACGCTGATCAAAAAAGAAAGCACACCACAGGAACTTCCATACTCAAACGTCGAGTGTTCAGTAATTCCAAGTTTCATTGTAGTTTTCCTTAGATTCATATTTGTAATTCTTTTACCGTCCGAATTTTTCTCCACGAAAAACAGACTGCGTGCCATACTGGTCAGGAAATATCATCGTCACGTACGATGGGGACGAAACGTCTTTGGAGGGCATTCCTCCAACGAAATTAGCACTGCATGCCCGCGAGTGTGGGACGTCATTTCAGTTCATCCCATGGGCGCTAACACATGTTGGCGTTACTGGTACGAAAACAAACGCAGAGCGCAAAGCGACAGTGTAGATTATGTCAGCCGGGCCGACACAGTTGCAGACATGATCGGGAGACCAAATTTCTCGCGTCGTACGGCACGGGTCCATCGTTGTCGCTGTCCAACAAAACATCGGCGAGGTGAAAAACTGTGAGACTTTGGCCCCACGAGATACGACACATAACTATTGAAGTACTTAACGACGCAGCACCGGCAGCACTTCATGCTGTGAACCCAGCGCAACCGCACCGCTGCGACTTCAATGCATACCAAAGTACGCGGCGTGGTTTCGGTTTCGTTTTCTTTGGTGTTCTCACTGCCTACCTTCAGTAACGGCCGCGCGGCGGCGCGCCAGTCGCGTCGCACGGAGTGTATAGTTTAATTTTAACCGGAATGTCTTGCACGATGTCATTAATAAATATTAAAAAAAGCAGTGGTCCAAGAACAGACTTGAATAAAATGGTAGCGTGAGTGCAAACATTCGCAAGATATGCGCGAGTACTTTTCCCGTTTCAGTTTAACGGACTTGTCTCTTACATATCTGTTTTAGTAAGCGCTGCATTACTTCCTAAGGAACTCCCGAGAAACACTTTTCAAGCACTGCAGAAGTGTCTGCAGAAACTAGCCATTTCTTCTTCAAGTCTTCATTGATTTCAAAAAAGGTTTGCCTCTTTGCCTCAAAGGGATACTTCAACGAAATGTTAAATATACCCATCGTGTTCATAAATAAGTTGAATTTGATCCACAATATCTGTAAGTGACAATTGCACATTTGTATTTTGAGCCTCATGGCTCTATTTATTGTTAAAAACAACCCACTCTGGCAAGTGCCCGGAGAGCAGCTAGTGGAGAGCACGTCACATCCGGCACTATCGTGATGCAGTTTGTCTCGGGATGAGCAAAGCTGTGGCGAGGCTGGCGTCGTCAGGATGCCCTAGCCGTTCCAGCCACCGAAGCGGTCTAAGCACGCTAGCCATCGGGCCACCGCAACTAACCCCAAATCCGCTTTTGTGTGAATTTTGAGGGACGGGTTAATCTATAACCTTGTACAGTTGAACCTTGATGTAACGAAGTCGGTAAAATTCGCAATTTACTTCGTTACATTGAAATTTCGCTAAATCAAAATTTGGCTTTAGCATGCGAAAAAAAAAAAAAAAATTCCGAAACATTTTACGGGTATGAAAACTCACCGAAAATGACATTTATTTAGGGGCAAAGTAGTCCGCGAGTTTTGCTTGCGCCTTGTCCGACAGTAGCAGCGGCGTCGGCGGCGTCATACGGCGTTCGAGCGCCCAGAGCGCTTGCACGGCATCTTGCTGCCCATGCGACGCCGGGTACCTCCTCAGTACGTCCATTGCGTTGAGCACTTCCCGAGTGCTCGTGATCTCGGCAGTTTCTTCCGGATGGCGTCCAAAACGTTTGCTTTCTCATCCAAAGAAAGAACTTTACGTTTCCTTATGGCAGCAAGCACGTAAGTGAACCGCCCGGTTAAAAAATAAAGGTGTTTAGTTTAGGCGGTGCCAATGTTTCCAACCTACACAGCACTCTTGACCGCACAGTTTACTTGCCCCCTTGCGCCCACAGTGTGCTTGCGCCTTTGCTTTACATCACGCTCGCAAGACGATAATCGGTCTTTTCGGTCTTCTCCTAGATGGCACTGCCCGTGCGGTCGCGCCATCACGTCGCTCCCCCGCTGAAGTTGGCTCCCGCGCTACCCGCGGTACAGTGGACTATGATGATCAGTGAATGTCAGTGGTGATGCTGTTATGCCGTGTTAACTTTTTGCTCTGCATTTTCTGGCCAGCCTCGCGGAATCCGTTTTGCCGCATGCCTCGCCGGCGCTACCGGCGCCGCATCCTCGGGCAGCCTAGGAACGTTGGAAGGCCTGTCCCCGTGAAGTAACCTATCAAGCGCTCGCGTTTGCGCATAATTTTTTTTTTTAACCACAATTTTTTTGCGAAGTTGTTTTTTAGAGTTGATTTATTTATTTCCTTCTATGGCAATGGCGCTTTGTTATATTTAAATAGCAGCAAAATAGACTTCGTTATATAGGGACTAAAAATACATGGGGTCTATGGGCAAGAAATTATGAAAAATAAAATACTTCGTTAAATCGAGGATTTCGTTACATTGAAGTTCGTTATATCGAGGTTCGACTGTAGAGGGAGAATAGCGACGTCTGGGACGCACAAAAGTAAGTCCCATTGAGTGGGGAGTTCCTCCCCCCTTCGCTTGCGCTGGCCGTAGAGCTTTATGGATGACGTCAGGTTCAAAGCATGCGTAGCTCTTGGTGAGGCAGTTGTCGTCGCCACCTGTCAAGGTTCTTAGACGGGCATTACAAACGAGGCTTTAGCGACATCCACCAGGTGCTCTTGGCTAATCGTTTAATTTGTTTTAAAATTCCTTTTCCTGTCTTTTTAACAAGATATTGGTGTGTTGGACGTGATACTGCCCCTTTGAACACATAGACTAAAATATAATTGCCAAAATTTCGTTGTACAGGAATGAAACAGCGGACGCCGTCGAAAAAGTCACCCACCACCGCCGTGCCCGATCCTGGAAGCACCGCCAACGTTGCTGCCGTAGCAGACGACACGCAAGATGCAGTGCGATTAGAAGCGCTTGCAAGCCACGCCAAAATGTTTAGAGCACGGGTTTTAGCTCCCTCGGCCATACGGCGAGTGTAGCTACACGATCTGCATGCGCTCGCCTTGCGTATAGGAAAGATTCGAAGTAAATGGAACGGCCTTCCCTCACCCATTGCATCCATTGGCGATTTTGTTCTCTTTAAAGAAGCACTAACAAGCAACTATTCATGATCTGTACCGGACTAACCATTTTCAGCGTTTTTGTACTTCCGTTGCTCACCCC